AAAAAATCCCTGATCTAGGAGGTTGGGCAAGTTTCCAGGTGGGTGAACCCATCCACTTGCTGAGAAAGTAACTCACCTCAGCTCCACAGGGACAGAAGCTCCCGCACTCAGGATGCTTCTGAACTTCGCCTATGTAAGTCTCCACCTGGCTGCTCATTTTATCCTTTAAAGTGTCCTTTGTAATAAATAGGCAATAGTAAGTAAGCTGTTTTCCTGGGTTCTCTCAGCTGCTCTTGCAAATTATTGAACTCGTGAAGGGGATCTCAGGAGCCTCTGGTTTGCTGTCAAGTTGGGCAGAAGTTGTGGGGAAGCTGGCAACCTACGACTTGCAATTGGTGTCTGAAGTGGGGGGCAGTCTTGTGGATTTGTGCCATTAATGTGGGCGTCTGCGCTAACTCAATAGTAGAGTTGAATTGAATTGTAGGACACCTAGCTGGTGTTGGAGAATTGGTTGTTGGTGGGGAAAAGAATCAAATATTTTTGTGACCAGAAGTGTTCTGTGTTGAGTGTAAGCAGAGAAAAAACAGTTTGGCTTTTTCTATCGTGGAAGGGACAAGAATGGAAGCAGGAAGACCAGTTAAGAAATTAATGAAGGAGTCTAGGGGAGACACTATGGTGACCCTAAGTAAGGCACTGACAGTGCCCACTATGGGGATGGTGAGATGTGTTCAGATTTAAAATATATTTAAGAGATACAACCTATAGGACTTGCTAGTAGATCGTTTCATTTTCCCTAAATATTATGTCTCTTGAGCTATATTTCCAAATCTTTTCTGAAACAATTTTAGATACAAGCTTCTTGCCCTCACCTCGCTACCCATATGTATACCACATACCCATCTTGTGCCTCAGAAAAATGCCCCCCACTTTTCTTTCTTTCTTTCCTTTTTTTTTTTTTTTTTTTTCAGCGTCTCACTCTGTTGCCAGGCTGGAGTACAATGGTGTGATTTTGGCTTGCTGCAACCTCCACCTCCTGGGTTCAAGCGATCCTCCTGCCTTGGCCTCCCAAGTAGCTGGGATTACAGGCACGTGCCTCCATGTCCAACTAATTTCTGTATTTTCAGTAGAGACGGGGTTTCACTATGTTGGCCAGGATGGTCTCTATCTCTTCACCTCGTGATCCGCCCACCTCAGCCTCCCAGAGTGCTGGGATTACAGGCGTGAGCCACTGTGCCCAGCCCACCCTTCCTAAATCACATTTGGTCCTAATGGCTTACCCTGCCATTTATTCCAGAACACCAAATGCATCTCAGTCACTGCTGTGTCTGTGGAGCCCAGAAGTAACTCTTAGCTAACTGTTCCCAGGACTTACAATTCATACCCTCCTACAGATGCCTAGAGAAATTCATTTCATACTTGTGCATGACTCTTTGCATGCCCAAGACTTCTGCACCTTGGAGAGTCTACTCCATAAGCCTCCAGCAGCCCCAGTAACAGTCAGTTGATGGTTATCAGGGCCCAGCTCAACTTTTGCATGATTCATTTATTCAACTCTTTGCCACTCTCAGAGAACAGAACTACTAGTAGCATCAGCCTATGGCTGAAGAAAACAGTTCATAGAAGTGTTTTGCAAATTGTGAGGCAACGCTCAGCTAGAATTTAAGACAGGTGGAGCTCAATGGGACTGTAACTTCCGGCCGCATGGAGAACAGCTTCTCCAAGAACTGCTGCCCCAAGAACAACCCTCTCCCCCTCCTAGTTAATCATCAGAGTTAGAACACAACTCTGGAGCCAAATTGCCTGGAATGGAATCTGAGTGTTGCTACATTTTAGTTGCATTACCTGGGTCAAAGTATTTAATATCTCTGTGCCTCTGTTTCCTCATCCATAAAAGAGAGAACTACAGACTCCTAAAGAAATTTATTTCATGCTTGTGCATGACTCTTTGCATGCCCAAGACTTCTACACCTTGGAGGGTCTACTCCATCAGCCTCCAGCAGCCCAGTAACATTCCGTCGATGGTTATGTGGGCCCAGCTGATTACAAAGACTTTTACAGGATTCATTTACTTAACTCTTTGCCACTGTCAGAGAACAGAACTGTTAGTAGCATCAACCTATGGCTTGGGTCTAAAATTGTTTCAGAAAAGCTTTGGAAATGTAGCTCAAGAGAGATAATATTTAGGGAAAATGAAATGATCTACCAGCAAGTCCTATTGATTGTATCTCTAAAATATGTTTTAAATCGGATCATCATAAAGCTAGCCTCATTATATGTAAGGATTAAGTGAATTACTACATGCAAGGTGTTTAGAATAAAACCTGCTTATAGAACAAGTGCTATATAAGTATTAACCATCATATTTTGTCATCATTATTCTCCTGACCCAACCACTGACACATCACCCTCATTTTATATTTGTGCAACAGAATTTCAGCTATGTGATTACTAAGCCATTACCAAAAGCCTCTGGGTAGATGTGTGTTGAGTGGGTTGTTAAGGTAATGCATAGCAAGCTCATTACAAAAAAAAAAAAAAAAGTTGGTGGGCAAAGTGATGAGGTGATTGTCAGAGATACCAAAGAGACATTTAATAAGCTGTGATTAACTTACTCTGAATAATGCATTGAAGTGTGAAGACATTTTCAAAGCATTATTTGGATTAAATTACTTACTGTTCCAAGGTTCATTTCACTAACCAGAAAATGTATGGAGTGGGTAGAGATGAGTCTGTCCTTTCCAATATCTGTTTAGTTGTTGACATATACTGCTCCCAATCAGTTCCCTGGCAACTCAGGGTTAAGGTCCTGCACCTCAAGCTCTAGTCTTTACTTAACTGTTCTTAGTACTACAGCTTTTAGGATGTCTACTGGTCAATGCGGACTGTATTTATCTGTGATAACAAGAGCGACACATTTCAGCAGCAACAATGATCAAGTTTATTTCCTGTCCATTCCACATGTTCATTGTGGGAGGAACAAGAAGGTCCCACTTAGCATTGTCATTGAGAAACAAGGCTGATGGAGGATCCACCTTGGCATGCTTCCTTGATCACAGGGGCAGGGGAAAGGAAGCATGCATGCCAAACCACATGTTGACTTTTGAAGCTTTTGCCTGGAAATGCCCCATCACACTGCTCATGTTTTATTGGTCAGAACAAGTCACATGGCCAGGTCTGGGCTTAAAAGGGAGAGTATGTGCAATCTTCCTGCAGGCAAGTGCCCCAAATATTTGAAGACAGTAATATAGGCTGCTGTAGAAAAGATTTGACTGAAAGCAGAAAACCCATCTAAAAGTGGCTTAAATAATTGAGGGGTTATTTTTTCACACAACAAAGAGTCTGGAGGTGGATCAAGGCCCAAGGTGGTAAATGTGGCATCTCAAAGATACCTTCAGGAATGGACTTTACTTCCATCTTCCTACTTTACCATCCATAAGATGCTGCCCATATCTCCCTTCATGGTTATAAGACGGCTGCAGCAGTGCCAGACATCATGGGTACACCAGAAACATCCAGAGGAGAATAGTAATGTTTCCTCCATCAGTCTCATATTGTTCTGTTTTTAATTTAAACATTAGGCCGGGAGTGGTGGCTCATGCCCATAATCCCAGCACTTTGGGAGGCCGAGGCGGGAGGATGGCTGGAGCCCCGGAGTTCAAGGCTGCAGTGAGCTGTGATAGTACCACTGCACTCCAGCCTGGGCAACAGAGTAAGATCCTGTCTCTAAAGTAAATAAATAGAAAGTAAAAATAAAATAAATTCATATTTCCACAGTCTGATTCAGGCAGTGTACCCAGCACGCATTTCAGGGCCTCATCCCAAAATTCATCACAGTTCATCACATGACTCATCACAAAACTACTCTTGCATTTTTGAGAAAATCCTCAGACCCCCAGCTTACTTCCACTTGGGTCCCATTAGCTGCAGTGAAATCATACGTCCATGACTTAACTAGTCATTGGCAAAAGGAATAAGACTACCTTGGCTACCTTCTGGGGTAAGAAAAGGCCTATACTCCCTTTGTATGAGCAACTCTGTTTTCTATAAGAAATATGGCACTAAACATAAGAATCAGGTAAATGTAACCTTATTTCACCAATTATGAGAAGGTCCTTTTTTTCAGAGTGTAAATAAAGAGGGACCACAATGTTCGTTAATGAAAAGCCTTCATTTGTGCTTACGTAATTAATTTACAGTGGAACAACTATGGGCAAATAAAGCAGTCAAAACAGGCATTTAATAGGGAAGGATCATTTACTGAAGTGTCAGGGAAATAAGAAACTACTTTGGGTTGATATTACATCCGTCTCAAAAGAGTTGACCAAAAGAATTCACCACTCCCTTCTCTGTGCACCCCCCACACTATAGTCTCCATTCTTCATCATTTCACCCACCACATTTACCACACTTTATTGCCTTTATCTGTACCTGTCTGTCGCCACCTGCAAGACTGTAAGCTCCTTGAAAATAGAATCTGTTTCATCTTTTTATTCCTGTGCATAATATAAAACAGCAGTGGCTAAAATCAACTAACTCACTGTGTCAGAGAATCCAGTCTAAGTTCTAAATGATTTGACTCTAATATTCACAACATCCTATGAGGCATGTGTTATTATTATGTATGTTTTATAAATGAAGAGATGAAAAGTCAGCAAGTTAAGTCCTTGACCAAATGTACACAAGTATTAAATGGGAGAGTTGGGTTTCAAATGAAGGCAGCCTAATTGGGTTATGATTAGCACATTTGCCCAACAAATGGGTGAACCCAATATGCTTTAATATACAATAGGAAGGAGAAAGAACAAGGGTGAAGAAAAAGTGATATATATTATTTACACATAGAATATAAAATCAAGTATGATAGACTTATATTCCATTAGGGTAGAGGTCGTGTATGTTTTACTCGTTTAGTGTGGTAGCCCTAGCTTCTCGTCCCTGGCACACAGTATGTATTCTGTAATTCCTGGAAGTGGAAGAAGAGAGGCGAGATGGAGGGAAGGATGAAAGAAAGAAGGGCAGCAGGAAGGAAGAGATCAAACAAACACACACAACCAATGACCACTTTCTCTTGCTTTCTGTTTTTCCTCCCTTCTCTTCCTCCGTTATTTACATGCATAATTTTACTTCCTAAATCTACCTCTTGCCCAGGATAGGAGGAAGTGGTAGAGGCTCTAAGTATAAAGGGTTCTCAAAGATAATTTAAATGCAACATTGTTACAGAGTAACAAGTCCTCTCTGCTGCCCTTATTCATTTGGCTTTTGAAACAATGTGTCTTGTATAAAGTAGACTTTTCCTCAAACTAAAACATTTTTGTAACAATTTGGACTTGTGCTTTTTCTTCTAATAGTATGCTGCTTAAAATGTCAAGGCAATGCAGGGATGCCAATTCCCACATGGGCATATTGATTTTTTGTAAAAACCAATGCAGGCTGGGTGCGGTGGCTCATGCCTATAATCGCAACACTTTGGGAGGTCAACGTGCCAGATCACTTGAGGTCAGGAGTTCGACATCAGCCTGGCTGACATGGTTAAATCCTGTCTCTACTAAAAATAGAAAAATTAGCCAGGCATGGTGGTGCATGCCTGTAATCCCAGCTACTCAGGAGGCTGAGGCAGAAGAATCACTTGAACCTGGGAGGCAGAGGTTGCAGTGAGCCGAGATTGCACCACTGTACTCCAGCCTGGGTGACAGACTGTCTCAAAACAAAACAAAACAAAACAAAAAAAAACAACTCTGTCTCAAAAAGAAAAAAAAAAAAATCAATACAGGGCCATTAGCCATAAGCAAACGAACAGCAATAATTAAAAGCTAGGAATTGACCACTGTCTGTTGATGGGACTATTACTCCAAAGCTCCTCTACAAAAAACTGGTTATGTTACACAGATAATAGTCTGTGAACACAAAAGCACTATTTTTTCCTTCTTGCTTTTAGCACTATTGTCATAGAACTCTGCTTTCAGAGATTGCTTCAAATAGCCATACAGACTTAACATTTCAGATTCAATCTTTAGACCATACAGACTCCTCACTCTAGTTTCAATAAGCAGAATACAATCATGATGAAACTGAAGCATTGCATTCAGAATTTTAGGTATTCCTATTCATAATGGATGTCCAGGTTTCTGCTGTTAATTTTGTCATTTTGATTCCTGTCTAGAAAGCTAATTTTTTAAAGTATCTTTTTGTTCTAGGTTTTTTATTTATTTTATTTTTTCAAGAGACACCATCTCACTCTGTCACCTGGGCTGGAGTGCAGTGGCATAATTCTGCTCACTGCACCCTCAGCCTCCTGGACTCACAAAATTCTCCTACCTCAGCCTCCCAGGTAGCAGGGACCACAGGTGTGCACCACCACACCAGGCTAATTATTATTATTATTTTCTGTAGGGATGGGGTCTTGCTATGTTGCTCAGGATGGTCTCAAACTCCTGGATAAAGCAGTCCTCCTGCCTCAGCCTCCCACAGTGCTAGGACTATAGCCATAAGCCACCACACCCAGGCTTTTGTTCTAAAATTGAACAAGAACTTCATGAGTATCCAAATATTCTGACTTTTTTTTGTTTGTTCTTCATTCTCAGATTACTTGGATTCCATTCAAATGTATTTAAGTTATTGGGATTTTTTTCTTTTTCCAGAAATGAACTCATGACGATTTTCACCCTGATTTTCTCCTCCTGGCTCCTCTTTCTTGGTCAATGGCGCCTTTATCCACTGTGAATCAGCCCAACACCTCAGCCACTTTTGACTTCTCACATTATTGCCATATATATATCCAGTTAGCCACCAAGTCTAATTGTTCAGTCTCTAGATCTGTCATTTTCTTTTCATCCTCATGTCAAGGACTCTAAGTCAGGCCTTCATCATCCTCTCTTAGAATATTGCAATGACCCTCAAACTGGCTTCCAATATTTGTCTCTTATTCTCCAACCCATCTTTTATATTATTTTTCAATTGTTTTCCCAAAAGAAATTTATTGTATTTCTCCCCTGCTCAAAAACCTACAATGGCTCACTATTACCAATTTTTTTTCGTCTTTAAAAGTCAAACTCTTTAATGGCATTGGAGACTCTTCTTCAGTTTATCCCAACCAACTCTAGCAACCTTATCTCCTGTCACTCGCCATCATTACCTTGATTATTCCTTCATAGGTGTGTTTTCCCCAGATTTATCATGACATTTCTTAATTCCATCTGTCTGGCAAATTCCAAATTACCTTTCAATGCCTTGCTCAAATGCTCTGTCCTTTTATGGAAACTTCCTTGTTCTCCAGGCAGAATTAATCCCTCTTTGCTGTGCTCCCATAGCATTTTGTTCAGATTCTTATTATGCCCCTTATTGGGTTCCCAGAAGCAGTTCATGAGCTGAGGATTTGTAGGGAAGGGTTTTGTTAAGGAAATGCTCCCCAAAGAGTCTGGCAAGTGAATGAGGGAAGTAAGACAGGGAAGAGAAAGCGACCAAGCAAGGGTGAGAAATTTGGTGAAAGTCCCAAGGCAAGTAGCCCAGCTCAATTCCACAGGGAAACTCTGACCATTAATGGATGTCCTTCTCTAAGACAGGGAGCTGGGCTTGCTTTCTGCCACACTGAGCAACCACTGGCTAGGGAGTCAGTTCCCAAGCACTTCCTGCTCTCTGCATGCATTTGTACACAGCAGCCCAAGGGCAGCCACCAAAAGAGTCACAGGTGCAGGCCAATGGCAATGAAAGCATGTCAGAGCAGATGGAGGAACACACAGAAATGGTAAAAGAAACCCCAGAGTACCTGGGAGGATGCTGACAATGTCAGCTATGCTTCTTAGTATAGTTTGCCTTGTATCCACCTAATCAGGCACAGTCATCCCCTGCCTCCAGCCAGTGGATGCTGACGCACTTAGGAGCAAAGACTGTATCTTAGCCATCCTGGTGTCCCTACAGCAGGTAGGATATCACTTTGTGCCTGGAAAGTGATTAAATAGCATTTATTGATTCAAATGGAATATTTCTCCTGCAACATTTTGCTTCTACTAATCATTCTGCAGAAATTTATTTTCCTTAGCTGGTTTTAGGTCAACAAGAATAAAAATGAATTCTGGAGTTTCAAAACCTCAAATCTTTAACTTTTCACCTCGCACTTTTATTCCTGGGGCAAAAACTTGCTCAGCACATCTCTTCCTAAATTCCAAGACAGGCTGCTTGTTCTGTTCAGTCAAGAATGCCAACCCAAGAAACATTTTTGAAAGATCACAGTCAATGTCATTGCCAAAAGAAGAAGCTCTTGGCACACAAAGAACCTGGTTCAGTATGAGACGCCAGATGGTGATTTTAACTTCAGCTAAATTCCTGCTGAAAAGTGTTTGAACTGCAGATGAGAAAAGCTTCTATGACAAATTTCCAAGTGTTAGAAGTTTCAGAGGAAAATGGCAAGTGTTGATGCCCCCTCCCCCCCCCCGCAACCACCACCACCAACCACATGCACACATACCATGGAACATACTTGCATCTGGTAGCTAAGATTCCAAACTAGATGCCTTTGCCTTTTAAGAAGCCTATGGACCCTGATTTGATTTTTACTAAAAGTATATTAACTGAGTCCATTGGAAGCAAATACCATTTGATTTCAAAGGGTGTTTTCTTTTAGCATCGGAGATAACTCTTTCCTGTCTACCAATAATTCTGTTGTTAATTGGTAATTAATTGATAGTCAACTGATACTCAGTGTATCTACCCTCCCTAAATACTTTCAAATTCCAGGAGATATCTGTGAAGTATAAACTGTTGATGCTCTGCCCAGATGCCCTTGAATACCTTTTGCTGGTTCTGTGTGCTCATGCCCCAGCTTCAGTGTGTTT